AAAATGTAGTTAAAAAATGTACTGTTGCTACTGCGTCTTTCAAAAGTTACTAATATTTTTAGCTTGCTAGTACAAACGCTGTAACGAGTCTCATCACAATAAGTTTACTTTTTTAAAATTTGAAACATGGTAAAAATGTGTTACACTGTTGATTATCACATTGTTATTCAATGTATAAATAATAAAATATGACCTTAATAAATAAAATAAATAGTACAATATTAAACTATTATACTATCAAATATTGTAATTTTCAAAATATTATGTATAAGTATTTAAAATATCCACTAAGAAGAATATTGCTGAAAATCTCACAGTAATTGATTAATATTGTTAAATACTGATTAATAATTAATTGTAATATTATTGTATTTTTTCAAATAAGAATAAAAAACAATTACATAGGCCTAATATTATACCAAATATGTAATATTCATATTATTATTTTATATTATTTTTATATTTATATATGAGATATCCACTAAGCAAAATGTTCGATATTACCATCAACATCATACACCGCTACCCCTCATTAGGGGAGTCACGTGACTTCTAAACCATAATACACATGACTGCCACACCGCAGCTTGTTTTACCGGGACAAGTGGCTTAAAGCTTCTGTGGACTGGATAGTTTATCTGTGGAAACAGACCAGGCGAAACACTGCAGTTAGGAATCACGGGGCAGATTAGAAACCTACGTGCCCAGACAGCTTCCTGTTTAATAACCCCGCAGTACAGAGCAAAGCTGTATAAGAGAAAGACAGGCCTGCCACCTAGTGGTTAAGCATAAACATTGCAGATGAGGAAAACAGCCTAAACCGCAATTGCAGTGACAAATACATCCAAACAAAAGCATTATAAGCCCATTAACATGTTTTAACCAACTCTGAATTGTTTTCAAAGAGACTGGATGTTTTCATAAAATATATGACAGCATAATAGCGATGCTCCCATGTGGGCGTATGTGAAAGAAACGTTTTGAACTAACACTCGACTGTAGCAAATGTCAAGTTTTGGTATTTTCAGCGTCAAAAGCGTGATTTTTATTAGAGCTGGAGTGAATAGGGACACTTTAGCACCTGGAGAGCTGCCCTCGTTCGTTACTTGTACCGCGGCGCGTTTCCAAGCGATGACTCGGCGTTCTGGCGAACCTTTCTGGCTCAGCGAGATGGTGGGAACGAAAAGCCGCCACTGCAGCGCGGCAACAGGTCATCGCCATGACAACAGCCAAAGCCACAGGAAGGCCAGTGAGTCTCGCTGGGTGATTTGTATGGAGAGAAAAGTTAACCTGAAAAATACTCCAGAGGCTTTCTTCTTTCTTTTCGGACGCAAGTGAATGTGGCCAAACTAATAAAATGTTCTCTCCGATCAACCACCCGCAAACAGAACACACACATTTCGTTCCTTAACGTTCGGAAGATCAAGCGATGAAATGTTAGGTCGTAATTGTCTTTGTAAATCCTGGTTCCTGACTGTTTCCCTGCGAAAAGCAGCCTAAGCTCAGCAGAAACAGCATTATTTATCAACTGAGGTGGCAAAAATGATGGTTTCTTTATCTATTTTTTATATCTCTGCACAAATGTAATTTGCATTGACTGATATTGGTTCTAAATAGGTACAGACCCTGAGATGGAAAAAAAAAACGATTTATTGTTATAAATTATTAGAAAATTCACATTAAGAATTATTTAATAGGTCAAACATGATTTCACAGGCAAAAAAAAAAGTATAGTGTCCAGTTTTTTTTTTTTTTTTTGCAATTGCAGTTCACAGATGAACATTTAAGGCAACAAAAACATGTTAATATCAATTAAGAAAAAATTATATGTATAATATTATGTATGTATATAATATATGTATATGTATTTTACAGTATCAATGTGGAAATCAGGATTAATATTGTTAGGATTTTTTTTTAATACATAAAAAATCCCAATCCCAATAATAATAATAATAATAATAATAATAATAATAATAATACATTTACTCAATAAAAAAATAATAAGAAAAAAAAACCCAGGGGTCTTCAAATAAATACAAAACTAAATACTATGAGCAATTTGATAAAATTACACTTTTTAATTTAAAAATATACTTATTTTAAATAGTTTCAGTATATTTTTGAAGGTCATGTAACCAGCCCCACCCACTGTGAAATTCCATTGGTCCAAAATCCTCTTACTTTGAGATGATCTTGTGTTCAATCGAAAAGAAAAGTTAAAATTAAATAAATAACTAAACCTAAGTTTAATCAAAATACTAAACCAGCAAGTGAAGTATCAGCAGTGAATGACTTTTTCACCCTTGTGTTTTTCTTTATACAGCTTCTAAATATACAAACGCTCATTTTAGTGAAATTGTGAAAGTGATAGATAGAGCCATAGTAAGAAAACAGTAGTCAATGAGAGCATGTGATCCTGAGCGTGGCTGGAGCTCAGAATGAGTTCTCTGTCAGGCCACCACCAGTATCCCAGAGTGCACTGGGCAGCCAAATATGGCTGACACAACAGGCAGGGAGAGAACAGGTTCCTCAATCCAGTGGCCAACAAAAGCTCATTTATTCGGTCGTTTTGTACAGAGGAGATTATTCACAGCCAGACTAAAACAAACACACACACATTTGATTTTATGGTGGAGACCTTGCATCAACGTTTGTTTGTTTGTTTGTTTGTTTGTTTGTTTAAGTGTTAAACGACATCATACTATTTTATTAAATTCTTATGCATTAATTATTTCATTAACTCATTTAGTTTTTTTATTGATTTTGATATAATCTGTTAACTGGAGTTATTTATTAATTTATGAATTTACTTATTTAAACTTAATATTAAGTTTAATATTAAGTTTAACTGCTAAACGGCCTCATATATTTTTATTTATTTATTATTTAATTTGATTTAAAATTAAATTAAATTGTTTAACCTGTAAAGGGCCTCATGTTATTTTATTATTATTTTATTTCTTAATTATTTTGGTAATTTATTTTGTTTATTATTTATTTTAATTTCATTTCATATAAATTGTAGCTGTTAAAGGGTCTCATTTTGTTATATCATTTATATAATTTATTTGTTTTAATGTAATTGATTTAATATTAAATTAAGTTTAACCATTTAAGAGTTCCATTTTATTAAACTATTATTGTATTTATTATTTGTTTTATTAATTTATATTGTTTATATATTTTAATTTAATTTAATATTAAGTTTAATTGTTAAAGGACCATATTATGTTATTAAATTATTATTGTATTTATTAATTATTCTAATTTAATTTGATTTAATATTACGTTTAACTGTTAATGGATTTTAAATTATTTAATTTATTAATTATTTGTAAAAAAATGTAACTTAATTTTATTTTATAAATAAATTATTAAATTACATTAAAATGACATTTAGGGACATTTGGTGCCCAAAAAACAATAAAAGCTGACCCAATGGATCTGGATCAAGACCACTGATTCATCACGGCAAAACAACAGAGCCCATGATTGAACAGTCATCCGAGTCAGTCTATCGTCAACGAACGCAGCTTCCAGATCACAATGTGATGAAAAAATCAACACATGAGTATAGACAGGCAGAGATATGGATTATTGATTTGTTGACGGGGTGTTTTATCCATCTGACCCCTGAGAAAGGCCGTCAGGACAGCGAGGCCCACACAAGATGCAGTGTTTGCTGCCGACAACAGTGTGCTTGTGCTGCGTATGTGAGGCCACAAAGACACATTTATTATGGTGGAAAAAAACCCGTCCGACAATCACCAACCGTCTGGCCCACTGGACAAATGCCAGGGAGGAGTGGGATGAAGGATCGTAGTGCCCTGTGACTGCATTCCCATGCACCTCTTCGTTTTTATACGGAGGATGACTTCATGACTTCAGATTTCGCTGTTTATATAGGCCTAGAACAATTGTAGAATTGTAATAATCATTACAATTTAATACATTATAGTATTTACTAATTAGCTTTATTATAACTAGTAAGTGTATCATAGTAAGTATTCAAAGTTTTGAAAATACAAAGAAGTAATAATGCACAAAAATTCAATAAACATTTATATAATAAAAATAATATTTTTTATAATATTGCAACTTTAGTGACAATGCGTGACATAATATACATTCGCATTTATATGTGTTTAAACAGTAATTATTGATAGTTATGAAAAGTATATTGCATTGAAACATAAACTTTCATGAATTTCATGTTCTCAACAACAAAAACAAAAGAAACAAAATAAATAAATATTATATTATATCATATTATATTATATTATGTGTGAGAGTGTTTGTCTCGGTGTTAAAGCTGTTTAATAGTCCAGTGGTGTTTAGGACACACGTCTGGCCAATTCTATAACAGAAAAGGATCGGCTGATTAACATGCCACACCACTCACTTCCTCTCAAACACACTATTGTTATCCTCCGAGATGCCTGACAACAAAACACTTGTGTGCGCTTATGGGCAACAGAACTTCCAAGAAAGATCAAAAGGAAAACGAAAAGGAAAACGTAGTGAACATATATCCTTATGGCCTACAACAAGAGGACGAGACAACCAATGTATAGAAACAGGATACTGTATTTGATTCCTTGGAAAAAGACTGACAGGACAATGCTTGCTCAAAGAAACATACAAAAAAAAAGGCCTGTTCAAACAATAAACATACTTAGTATCAAGTTTCAGAAACCCAATAACAACAAAAAATCTACCAGATTTAACAGAAAAAACAAACAAACCCAGTTTAATTTTCCTACAAATATTACATGTAAATGAAGCAATATGCTTTAAAAGTTGGCAAAGGCATTATTGTGTGTATATAATATAATTTTATTAAGCTTCTTTACTCAAATGTGTCACACAAGTGTTATACTATGTGTGTGTGTTTATATTAATATCTTTGTATCTCACTCTGAATGTGTGTGTAGTGGAGTGAGAACAAGGTCAGAAGCTGATTGGTCAGTTCTGGTGATTGACAGGTCAGAATCTCCAAGTTACAGGCCCCTCCGTTTCAGACCTATAAATGGACTCCCATCTCACTCTGCTCTGAATCGCCTCATTCGAACAAACTCTCTGCTGGTAAGTGTAGTAAGTTTTTATCATTGCAATGTTTTACAGCTTATTTTGCTCCAAGTGTTCCAAACTGCAAATTGCAAAACTAACTACATAATGACTAGAAATGTGTTTGCAAAAGACAGAAAGAAAGTTAATGGTCCATAAAATTGCTTCAACACTTAAACTTTTACAGTCATTTGAGTGAAAAGTTAAAACAGCTTGAAATTGCTTTTAAACATTTTCACATTTTTAGTGCTTCTTGCTATCGTCGAACGCTACACTACATAAAGATGTCAGACTTAGAGAGCTGCCTGGGAACCATCATTGAGGTGTTCCACAAATACTCGTCCAAAGAAGGTGACAAGCACAAATTAAAAAAGAGCGAACTCAAGGATCTGCTCACCAATGAATTTCCGACTCTTACCGAGGTAATTAAACTTCAAACTTTTTTTTACACTACACTTTGACTTGAAATTGAAAGAATTTTTGATTTTCAGTCATGGCTTCATGTCAGAATTGTGTTTTTGTATCAAAAATTTGATGAAATATTTGTAATGCTAAGCAAATTAGCTATTTTCATATTTAAGTTTTTCTTTTCCGACTCTTACCAAGGTAATTCAACTTCAAACTTTTTTTACACTTCACTTTTTCTTGAAATTTAAAGAATATTTGATTTACAGTCAAGGCACTATGTCAGAATTCAGTTTTTGTGTCAAAAATTTACGATTAAATATTTAACGCTAAGCAAATTATCTATTTTCCTATTTCTTAAGCTTTTTCTTTTCCAACTCTTACCAAAGTAATTCAACTTAAAAACTTGTTTTTTTACTCTACACTTTGTCTTGAAATTTAAATAATGTTTGATTTACAGTCAAGATTTTATGTCAGAATTGAGTTTTTGTGTTCAAAATTTACGATTGAATATTTTTAATGCTAAACGAATTAGCCATTTTCCTATTTCTTAAGCTTTTTCTTTTCCGACTCTTCTCAGGTAATTAAACTTCAAACTTTTTTTTTTTTTACACTACATTTTGATTTACAGTCTAGGCTTTATGTCAGAATTTAATTTTTTTGTGCCAGACATTTACGATTAAATATTTTAAATGCTAAGCAAATTAGCTACATCCTATTTCTTTTTCTTTTTATCTCACTCAGCATGTGAAAGATCAAGCAACAATGGACAGTTTGATGGAAAGCGTGGACACCGATGGTGACTCGGAGTGTGATTTTCAAGAGTTCATGACCTTCATCACCATGGTTACCATCTGTTGCCATGAGTTTTTCGAACATCACGAAGACGAATGAGTCGAATTAAAAAAAAAAAAAAAAAAAACAAGTTCAGTTTTCATATCTTAATGAGTCACAATACATTCCTTCTCTTAAAGTTTGCTTTGTTCTTTATCATATCATCATATTAGGATTGTTGTTTAGTTTGGACAGAATGTACATGCAGCTTGTACGACCGTTTGTTTTGCTAGACTCAAAACCAGTTCATCATTTATTACAAAGCATGTTTCTATTATTTTGCCTAGGCATTTTTTTTTCTCCAAGACATCCCCATCATAAATCTCATCGAGTGAAACGCGGACCAGGTGTTGCGCTCTTGCCATTTCAGGTCCAGGATGATTGTGAAATGTTTTTCCTGATTAGCTTCAGACTATTAGGCTGCTATTGACTTACGTCAGATTGTTCCAGGGGCCTGAGACAAATCATACTGTGCTTTAAAAAGACCCACCAAAGCAAATTATTCCTTTGAAAAAATCTAATATGATGTTTACAACCATCCATTAATTGATTTGGAATTTCAAATCAATCCCATATGTTATTAAAGGCATGAAAACTCATGTTTTTCATGTATTGAATATCCAGAAAATGTACTAGCTATTTTTTTTTTAATAGTACATGAATTGTGGTTTCAAATTGTAACCTAAGCTAACAGTCAATGTCAAAACATTAGGCTAACTTCATGAAACAAGGAATTTTGTGTGTTGTAAACAAGGTGTAAATCGTAACTAGATCTACTAAATCTACAAATTATTAAACTTAATGTGACATTTTAAATAAGAATGTATTATGAAAATTTACACAAATTTGTGTAACAAGGCCCTACAATGAAAGTTTCCTTACAAACTTAAAAGATGAATATGTTTCAGAAGCCAAACTGTTAGAATTATGGAATAGAAACTAGCAAAATAAAAATTGTGAACAGATGAAATTCAAGTAACGTGTGAATTTTTGAAACATTGACTGCATTAGTTTTAAAATAAAAATGTTCAGTAAAATTCTATATCCTATCTTTAATGCAATATCTATCTATCTATCTATCTATCTATCTATCTAGTTTTAAAATAAAGATGTTTAATATAATTCCATAATATCTCATTAACAAAAAATAAAGTTTTCTTTACCCATGAATCCTATTGTGTTAGTTATAGTATGATACTTCATGGTTTTATGTTTTTTGGCAAAACAGAATTAATAATAAATTCTAATATATATATTTTTAAATCTCATTTAAATGCATTTGTGAAGAGGAACTGGGTCTCACTGGGTGTATAATCAATAATTACCTTTTATATAAACCAAGAAAATCATTACTTAAATGTTTGGCGTTACCTTATCCTCCAGAAAAAAAATGGTAAACAGCTAGAGAATGCCTGTAAACAACTGCTTGGCATTGTCCCCTGTGACTTTCATTGATTTAGATGTCCCGCAGGTATTATCATTACCGAGCACAAACTGTCAATACAGAGGCCTTCACATCCGTGTGTTAATTAACAGATCAATGGTCGCGCAGCAAGACCCTGAAAGATGATAAATATAATATGCACACAATCTGATAAAGAATGCCTTCTTCGTCTCAAGTGTGTTTACATTAAGCAACCTGAAAATCACTTACATATTTATATGCAATACACAAGTCTAAATACACAAATACAAGTTTGTTTGAAGGACTTTTAAGTATTAACCAATCACAGTCTGCCGTACTGAATGCTCCCGGTAAGTGGCAGTGTTGTGCCGTGCCAGTGCAAGTTCCCTGATCTGAGCTGTGGAAATGAGAAATATGTTGAGGTAGAGGGTGGACACAATATGATAAAGTTACTGGATTTATTTGACAATGCAATAAAGCATAAATAAATAAATAAAACATGATAAAATAAGTGTCCACAGAATTTCTGGAGTGAAAGATGTGTGCCTTGGGGTGATTGCTTTGGCTGAGTTGAGCAAATGAGGCACGCAGTGTGTGTGTGTGTGTGTGTGTGTGTGTGTGTGTTTACCCAGCTGTGTGGTCTGACTATGACCAGTCTTTTAGCATCTCACAGTAGGTAATGTCCCATGAGGTCATTGGATTGGACACCAGAGTAGAATTTGGGAACTCGGCTTGCTGCCAAAAAGGAGCTCTGTGGTGGTATTCAGTCTGCTGTTTTTGGAACATAAAAGCACAAATATATGGCATTACGTTACATTATGACACTATCTATCTATCTATCTATCTATCTATCTATCTATCTATCCATCCATCCATCTATCTGCGTCTGTCTGTTACATACATACCATTTGGAAATTACATTTGGAAATTATATCGTCATGATTTGGAATGAGCAATGATTAACATACATTCATTTCCATCCAAATTTTTCATTTTCTTTCCATCATTAAGGATTCAAAGCAGCTTTGAGAACACTTGAAAGAGAATGAGGGGAATGCAGAGAGTGAGAGAGTGATGGGATTGAGTGACTGTACATTTGTTATGCTGCAAATGTGTGTGTGTCTTGAGCGAGAGATGCAGACCGAAGGCGTTTTAATGGCATCCACCATCATGGATAAACACTTCTTTGATTATATAGATGCCTCAAGATGCAACATAACTGCAAGTATCTCACCGTGAGCGCCAGCCAATCACTGATTGATTGTTTATGTCTACATGTGTGCATACCTTCTGTATCTTGCTGATTTGATATACATTATCAATTCACAACACTAACTATCACTGCTGATTATTTGACACATTCTAAAGGTGTTGATTCAGATTGTTGCTGTAAAGTTGTTCTGCCTTGCACCAAAGTTGTGTTAGCATGTCTGTATATATACAACATTATGATGACAACAAAATATGGAAATAAAAGTCTAGCATTTTGTCTTTATTCTCTCTGTTTTTAGACACTGTTATCCTCATGATCTATTCCATAAATCTAAACCTGTTTAAAATCTTACAGAAAAACACTATAAATAACCAATCTTTTCCTCTTTCTTCCCCACCTCTGTCTCTTTTTGACGTTCATTGTTTAAATGGGAAGAAAAATAGAAGGGGTCTCAGAAGTGAGTGGAGATGCTTTCTTGGGGCTGCATGGATGCACATGATATGAGAAGCAAAATTAAATAAAGGCTGATTGTGTTCAGGGGATTATATCGGGGTTAGTCCTGCACGCTCGGCTGGAAACATGACAGCATAAGAATAATTAGCTCACCTGCAAATATTCCTAACTCACTTACACTGGCTGACTTCAGTGACCACCCTGATGGAAGGAGGGGAGTGTGTGTGTGTGCATATATATGTCTGTAAGCATGTAAGAAAGAAAAAAGGTAACCCCAGGAGCTCAAAGACCCCAGCAGTGAGAACAGATGTCCTACCGTAACCTATAGCAGCCTGTGAGTGACCTCCATGAGAGCGGGCCGTCTTGCATTAGCACCTGCCCTTGCTCACGGGGAGGCAGAAATTAAGTCATTTTAATTGGAGTATTACTTACGGGCTAGTGATTCATTAGGCTTTTAACCTTATTGTATATTATGTTCTTACTTTGAGAATGTAGGAATGTCCCGGAAAACATCTGAAGAGGTAAAATGGGACATGGATACGTGCTTATTTTACTGTAGGAAGCAGATTTTTATTTATTTATTTTTTATTTTTATTTATTTTTTTTTTTTCAAATTCCCCGGCTCTCCAGCAGGCCCCTTAGAGCCTACACTTAAGCGCCATCCGATTATTCCCCCAGCTATCCACGTCACCCAGAGGACTGCACCAATTGCAAAGCAATAAGAACTATCTATGATAGGGTCGCCGTGATTTTGCCAAGTAAGACATGTTCCTGGATCAACATCTTTTGATGATCCTGGATCAACATTATTGTCCAAAAATATAGATTTAGCCAATCCCTACCCCTAAACCTAATCCTACCCATAATTTATTCTTAAAATCAGTGGGAAATGATAGCTGATTAACAAAGGTGTAGAAGCACCTAACCCGGAATGTTAGCCTAAAACAGATATTTCCTGAAAAGTTATATCTCAATTCTGATTGGTTGATTGGAATGTTGGTCCAGGATCAACAAGGATGTTGATCCAGGAACATGTTGTACTTGGTGAAAGCACGCTCACCCTATAACAATACTTGTGTGTGTGTATATATATAATATGTAATAATATTAAAATATGTATATAATATTATATGTATATAATAATATTTTTTTTCCATTAGTCTTCACTCTCCACCATGATGATTTCTGATGGGAATTTCGCTGCAGAAATCTGAAAGAAAAGAGCTAGATTTCTGGCATTAATTAAAATAAATGAATACGATACTGTTTTCAAGATCATTTTTGGCATCCTTAAAGATTTGCTTGATTTAAATGTAATTATTTAATTTCAAGAGGCTATAAATCAATTAATGAATACTTTTTAATCCACATATTTTAATTAAACTTAAAATAGATTAAATATAAATATTTTAAATGTATGTGCATTTATATAGTACAATGAGGTCCAAAAATATTGAAAATCTCTATAATTCTGTAGGCATATAATGATGCATGTGCTTATTTTACATTAAGAAGTTGATTTAAGTTGGTTTATATTATTCTTTACAGATTACCTGGCTCTCCGGCAGGCCCCTTAATTAGAGCCCACACATAAATGCCTTCCGATTATTCCCCCAGTCACCACGATGACTCCCAAAGGGGATTTCACCACAGGCGTCCTATTTCTCTGCCATTATTTTGATGAAATTTGCATAAGAATTCCTTAATTTAAATGGTTTAATTATGTAATTTTAAGGCTGTCAATTGATCAAAAATACATGATATGCTGATTAATTAATTCAAAGTACTCCTTTTTTAATCTGTAAATCTGTAGATACTAGACGATTTTGCCTGTTGTTTCACATCAGCACCCCATGCAGATAAACATTATTTTATCCCATTTGCTCTCTTCTCCTAAACACTGATACATCTCTTCCTACACCAGATTGTGACCTGCTGTATCACTTTAAAAAGAATTGTAGCTGAAAGTTCGAAATAATGACAGAAAATTATCTGTCACATCGA